TGCTTGAGTGGCAGCCAAACAGCGCCCGTTCATCACCTCATGGCAACAGTCTGGGCGTGCCCCACTGGAGGGCAAGGGGCCAACGACCCCTGCCCACATCATCTTCCTCTCCATCACCTTCCTCAGCCCTAGGGACAACCTGTCCCATTGTGTTCCAAGGGGATTTGTATCTCTCTTGCAGAGTGGAGCCAAGCCAAGGGGGAACTCAGCTCTGATAATGGGGAACACTCAGTTGACTTTGCTAAAGGCACAATGGGCCTTACTGTGAACTTGTGCAATAAAGTCACACTGTACAACACTCTGGCTGGTTTCACATGTGAATATAATCACTTTCTCACCCCTCTCTGCTCCACTGATCATGTAAATCAAAAGTACCCCCTTACACCATGGCAACCATTGTGCATTCTCATTGTTACTTCAGTTACCATGGCAACCATTATGCAATCTCAATGTTTACATTGGTTACCACGGCAACCATTATACATTAGCATTGTTATGTCAGCAACCATGGCAACCATTATGCATTCGAATTGCCATGTCGGTTACTATGCCAAGCATTGCACATTTCCATTGTTACCCAGGTTAGCATGGCAACCATTATGCAGTCTCATTGATAAAATTGGTTACCTTGGCAACCATTATGCATTCTCATTGTTACATCGGTTACCATAGCAACCATTATGCATTCTCATTGTTACATCAGTTACCATGGCAACTATTAGGCATTCTCATTGTGACAATCAATTACCATGGAAACCATTATGCATTCTCATTGTGAACTCGGCTACCATGGCAAACGTGCATTCTCATTGTGACCTCGGTTACCATGGCAACCATTATGCATTCTCATTGTTACATCAGTTACCATGACAACCATTATGCATTCTCATTGTTACACTGGTTACCATGGCAACTATTAAGCATTCTCATTGTAAACTCGGTTACCATGGCAACCATTATGCTTTCCCATTGATACACTGTTACCATGGCAACCATTATGCATGTGAATCACTATGTTGGTTACCATGGCAGCCATTGTGCATTCCCATTGTTACCTAGGTTGCCATGGCTACCATTATGAATTCTCATTGTTATCCCAGTTACCATGATAACCACTATGCATTCTCATTCTTAAAAGTGGTTACCATGGCAACCATTGTGCATTCTCATTGTTACAAGCGGTTATCATGGCAACCATTATGCATTCTCATTGTGACGTAGGTTACCATGGCAACCATTATGCATTCTTATTAGGACACTGGTTACTGTCACAATCACTATGCATTCTCATCGTTGTGTCCATTATCACGGCAACCATTATCTATTCCCACTGTGACATCAGTTTTCATGGCAACCATTAAGCATTCTCATTGATACAAGCGGTTACCATGGCAACCGTTATGAGTTCTCATTGTGACCGCGGTTACCATGGCAACCATTATGCATTCCCAATGTTACCTAGGTTACCATTGGCAACCATTACGCATTAATAGTTATGTAGGTTACCATGGTATGATGGTTTTAGTCTAGGCCTTCCTTGGTGACCAATTTGTAACCAAGGAAGGAGCCAAGTACCCAGTATTCCACACAATTTTTACGTAAACCAGAATATAAATAAGTCGGAGATTAGAGACCTCGCTCTCTTCTCTTCCGGCGAGGTCTGAGAACAGTGGGTCCCTGCGTTGGTCTCGCTTATCTAAGGCTGAGGCCTGCAGAGTCCGCTGTCCTACCACGTGGGGGTTTGGAGAGTGCTGGCTGTGACTGCCGATCCTGCTATTCTAAGGGACGTGGTGAAATCTGTTTTGTTAGTTATTAATATAGTTTGATCTAATATACCTGTTCGGTGTCCCTTTTGTTCCCTTTTGTCCCCTTTTTTTCCCTTTCCCTATCCCTGCGGGGGGGTGGACCCCCTTTTTCTGTGTATATAGCATCTTAACTGTATATAACTGTAATTTGCGTAAATATAGATATATTTTTATATAAGCAGCTTGATTGTGGGTTCTTTAATTTTTATAGTTTCTTTCTCCTTTAACCTAAGGGAAGAAAGAAAGGGAGAAAGGGGCTGCTGCCCTAACTTTCGGGCATTTGGCAAGGAGCCAAGTCCAAACCGTCACACATGGCAACCATTGAGCATTTACATTGTTAGGGTCGTTTAATATGGCAACCATTATGCATTCCGATTGTGAAGTCGGTTACCATGGCAACCATCACATTATCTCTTTGCTATGGTCAGTTACCATGGCAACCATTATGCATTCCATTTCCTTTGGACGGTTACCATGGCAACCATTATGCATTCCCATCATTATGCTGGTTACCATGGCAACCATCTGTAACACACAGATAATATAGAAACGCCAAAAATTGTTACTCCATTATTTCTGCCAGTCAAAAACTTCATATCAAACATTCTCTGTCAGTTCTCTGCCACAGGTTCACAGCACTTCCTACAGCACTTTTCCTGCCAAAAGATCCTGCCATTGTTTATGGTTATCATATCTCCTCCAACATCTGAACTGGCTACGTACCAAGAAACCACGTACAACCTCCTTTGAACACTATAAACCTTGAGGACAAATTTTGGAAAATCAGGGAGAGGAAAGGGAGAAGAACTGGTGACTGTAGCCGACAATCTCTGCCCACCTCCCCTCACCTTTTCTCCGCCACCGCGTGCTGCCTGCCTGCCACTGGAGACTGGAACTGTGCCGGTCTGGAGAGAGCTGAGACCACCGTGCCACATGTGGCAGTTCTACCTTATCCTTCTACCCTGACCATATTTCTCAGGGCTCAAAGCTTGGGCTGAGCTGAGACCCTGCAAGGCCTGGGACAGGGGCATGAGAGGTGAAACCACACCTGGTGCATTGCAGAGAACTAAAGCTGTCAGAGCCCCTGCAGCTACAGAGACAACATCCAAAAGCTGCAGGGACAGAGAAAAAAAAGGCAGAAACTGCTTCTCTTCCCCCACACACAGAGACCAGTGCAGTTGGTAAAGGAAGTTTTTGGTAGAATCTTTTCTCTGCTTCTAGAAATAATCTTTGCACTTTCCAAACTTTTCTTATTTTTTCCTCATTCTCTTTGCGTCTCTTAGCAATTAATAAAAATTAGTTTTTGGTATACACAGATACTTGTGTGACTTTTAATTTTGCTCAAGGAAACATTCAAATCTGAAGTTCTTTCTGCAATATCTAAGCAGATTGTAACGAGGGACCACGGAAAAGTGGGAGGAACGGGGAGAAGAGTGGAAAATTGGGGGTGGTCTGGCGGGTCTGATGGTCCCATGGGGGTCTTTGGGAAAGGGAGGATTTACAAAAGGGGGGTGGTCCCCCTGAGCTCCTAAATTACTGTGGGGTGCTGGGGGGCTGCTGGATCCAATCTCAGCCTTGGGTTATGCCAATACTTTCAGTTCACAGGAATTACAGAGTTGGGACTAAACCACTTTTGTCCCCCAGGTTTTAAGGATGGCAAATCAGATCTACTGACAGAAATTAATTATTTAGGGTTACAAATGATCAGAAAAAAAATCCTCATCAGAATTATTTACTTCACAATAGAAACACTAAAACTACCAGCAGTACAGCATAAGATAGGACAGTGCTCTACACTGAAGCAATTCTTAAATCAGTTCTACTCAACCTGGCACCAAAGCAAGAATTATGAATTAGAGGTGGATGGAACTCCCCCAGACCAACACTTGGGGGGAGATCTCTGCTCTCAGCCTCCAGCAGTGACCTTGGGGGGTCCCAGCCAAGGCAGGAATCTCCACACACCCCCAAGAAGGGTTCTGTTGGCACAACCTGCTCCTGGCAAAGGGCACTGGCCCTTTCTGGTAGAAAGGGATGGACTGACAGTCACTGGACTCCAGGGGTTGCCTCACCATCAGGGGGGTCATTCAGGGTGGGAGCAGTGGCCGAGGCTCTTCCCGCAGTCGGGGCACTCGTGGGGCTTCTCTTACCGGTGGGTCCGTTGGTGGGAGGTCAAGTTACCTCTGTAGCTGAAGCTCTTCCCACACTCCCCACACTTGTAGGGCCTCTCCCCGGTGTGGATGCGCCGGTGGATGATGAGGGTGAAGTTCCGGTTGAAGCCCTTCCCGCAGTCGGTGCAGCGGAAGGGCCTCTCCCCTGTGTGTGACTGCCCATGCCTGATGAGAGTTGAGCTGCGCTGAAACCTCTTCCCACATTCCAAGCACTTGTAGGGTTGTTCCCCAGTGTGCATACGCTGGTGATTGATCAGGCTGGATCTATCAATGAAGCTTTTCCCACATTCCCCACACTTGTAGGGCCGTTCCTCAGTGTGGATGCGCTGGTGGGTGCGGAGGTAGGAGCTGGTCCTGAAGCTCTTCCCACATTCCCCACATGTGTAAGGCCGTTCCCCAGTGTGGGTACGCTGGTGGGCAAGGAGGGTGGAGCTGTAACTGAAGCTCTTCCCGCATTCCTCACACGTGTAGGGCCATTCCCCAGTGTGGACGAGCTGGTGTTGGATCAGGTGGGAGTTGCTCCTGAAGCTCTTCCCACATTCCCTACACGTGTAGGGCCGTTCCCCAGTGTGGATGTGCTGGTGCCTGAGGAGGTGGGAGCTCTTCCTGAAGCTCTTCCCACATTCCAAGCACCTGAAGGGCTTCTCCCTGCTGGGAGGCTGCTCAGGGACCACCAGCTCGGAGCTCCGGCTCAAGCTCTGGCCGCCTTCCCGGCACAGGACGGCTCTTTCCTCCTCACAGCTCCCTGGGCTGGCTTTGCAGCCCCTCCTCCGGGGGCATCTCCGGGC